TGAAGGACGCGGTCATTGGGGTGTCCCAGCCGTGCATGCCACCTAAAATCAGATGTAGTAGCTGTAAGAGCCGCTGGTTTAGGCAGGATAGGAGCCTTGAGACGATACAGACCATGGCATTTGCGACCGCGGAGGAGAAGACGCTTGTCCTGAAGATCCTTCACAGTAAATTCGTTAGCATTAAACGAGACTGAGACATTATTGTCCGCAGTCAGTTTGGCAACAGAAAGAAGATTATGGGATAAAGTAGGAACGTGAATAATATTGCGAAGATGAAGCTTACGATGCGATTCGGGAAGAGGAAGAATTCCTTGACCCGAATGCTGAATCGGAAGATGGCTCCCGTTGGCGATGGAAACGGAATCCGTTCCATTGTAAGGCAGTGGTTGTTGAAGGTTTGTGATGTCGGATGTTAAATGGGACGAGGCGCCGGAGTCCAGTATCCACTCATTGGAGGAATGAGAGTTCTGCTGAGCCGTGAGAGCTTGCGGATTCGACGGAGGGGCATAGGTAAGATTGCACCTATGCCAACAATTGAGGGCTGAGTGGCCGGTTTTTCCACAGATTTGACAGATAGGCCGAGTTGTCGGAGTTCTGGATGGGTGCTGAATCTCGGTGGAGCCTTGACCGCGAACGAAGCCGGATTTGATCTTGGGCTTCGAATTTCTGGAGCGATATCCATTGTTGCGATTGGAGAGCAATGCCATATTATCGGAAATTTGAGATTCTTGATTTTGCTGGTGTTGAAGATTAATTTCTTCGCTACAGAGCAAAGAGTAGAGATCGTCGAGGCTAATCGGCTGCAGGGACGTCCGAATAGCTGTTTTGAATGGATTGTATTGAGCCGGTAATCTGTTTAGGATGTATAAGACGATATCCTCTGTATCGACGTTGGATCCCGCGGCCGCGATGCTGTCAACGATCTTCTTGATTTGATCTAAGTATTGCAGCATTGTCTTATCCTTCATCTGTATTTGATGAAGTTCGCTTTTGAGTTGGATCACCTGCGATCGATTTGTAGGTTGAAGCCGACGTTCGAGCGTGGTCCAGATTTCTTGTGCCGTGTGGAGAGTGAGTACATACGGCAAGATCGGTGCAGAGATAGTCCACAAGATTGCGGAAATGAGATTTCGATCGACTAGTTTCCACCGATTATACTCATCCGTCTCAGTTGCCGGAGGGCAGATAGAGGCTCCGGTAAGATGCTGATCGTAACGATTTGCGGAAAAATGTTGATAGAGCTGTAATCTCCAGATTGCATAGTTTTCGGTAGTGAGTTGGGTGGGAACAAGATTCTTGATATTTGAAATCAAGAATTTGAGGTGAGGAGGGATCACGAGTTCAGTTTCTTGATCTGAACTGCCTGTTCTGCGAGAGATAGCAGAGCTGGCTTCGGCCATTGAATTCGAACAGAGGAGCGATGACTGGAGAAGGAAGGATCAGTGAAGAAAGGATTAACAAGGCTGTGAAGCTGAAAGCTCTGATACCATGATGGAAAACAAAAGCCGGTGAAGGCCAGAGAAAGACAGAGAGAAAAATGACGAAAAGGAAAGTTATTTCATTCATGCTGAAACACTGTATTACAGGGTTATATATAGAGATAATACACGCCAAGAAAGTACACTGTGACCGGTTCATTTTAACAGGTGAACCGGTTCCTTAACAGTCCATAATAATGGTACCAAAAAAAAAAAAAAAATAATATTAGCTAATGATAAAAGAAATGGAAAAATTAAATAACTACATTAGCAAAAACTACCCAAACTCACTAGAAGTGTGAACTATAATATAAACTTAAATATAATGAATGAAATTATACACTTATGGTGATAGTTTATAAAGTAACATAGTTAAGTACATTATGAGAAGAAAATTATGATTAACTTTGATTTCTAAAACCACTTAAGCAACTCCTGTTTATTAAAGCATAAATGATAGAGACTTTCGGTATGTAGCATGAATACACTACAAGAAAAGCATCTATTATCGCTGAATTTTCAGGCAGTTCTAGAATTTATCGGCGGAAAAATTTCCGCTAGTAAAACCCGAGAAGGACAAAATTTCTTGCCAGCAAATAATTCTATCGGAAAAGCCGCCAGAAAATCCCGATGGAAAGAAACAGCCGGAAAATTCCATCTGAAAAGCTAGCTCTTTATCTTTCATCGGAAAACTGCCGAAAAGCAACAAAAAAATTAACCGCCAGAAAGCCGCTGGAAAATTCAGCCAGTAATAGAAGATTTTCATGTAGTGATAATAAAAGAGGCATAATTTATTATATAATAACAAATAGTGAGTGTCATTATATTATTTATTAAAATAGTATTGTATCAATAAATAAGAACTGTCACATTATATATATATATATATATATATATATATATCCATTTTTTCATGACACCCTAAAATAAAAAAAATTATGCATAAAATCTATAAAATAATAAAAAAATTACAAAAAAAATCTATATAAATATAAAAATTTTCTAGCAATTAACTAATAGGATTTTACTGACTTACATATATACTTCTACATACATATATATATAATATCCAATAAAGTCAAATAAGCCTATTTGAATTAAATTGAATCAATGGTTTAATCAAGCTTATGCCAAAGATCTATTTAGTTCAATTATGTGTTCTCTAATATGTTGGCACATATTGGAAGAGTTGGCCTAGGTTAATATATGCCCAATTATAACGTTTGAGTTTAATAGATTTAATTGGGTCTTATTAGACCTAACCAGATCGAGTTCAAGGGGGTCCTTATTTGGTCTAATGATCAACTAGAGTTTACACATAAAGATTTATTGATCAAAACCCCATAGTATAGGCCTATCTAGTCATCTAAATCAATTGGTTTAAAATCTCAATGGTTTTC